ACCCAACCACCCCTAAATTAAAATAGATTTTCCTCAGCCTTAACAACTCAAAATATCAATATTGTCTGCGTTTATAAATTAAGTAAATTTCTTTCAAAGTTCATTCCTAACTTTGCTTGACAAGGGAACGAGATTTTGAATTTTAAGTTTAATTTTTATAATTAAATTTATAAATTTAGTTTCAGTTTTGAAACATGGAAATTTTCTGTGTTACGATGGAATCATATTTTTAAAAAGAAAATAATTATAATATTTTGCTCAACTGTTTCGTATCGAGCACTGTTTTTTTTTAAAATAAAAATAACTGCCAAGATACGAACTACGAACTGGAGGTACCAAAATCAAATAAGTACAAACATTTAAATATCTACGAAATGTTTTAACAGAGGACAGAAAATGTGACAGTGAAATCCGAAGATGCATTGGAGTAGCAAATGATGCCTTCTAAAAGACAGACAAAGTATTATTAAGACACAGGAAAATCTCATAATGTTTAGAATCAAAGAAAGGAGTGCTGAACTGTTATATAATATATGTCCTCTTATATGGCAGTGAATGTCGGACAATCTGATCACAGATGAAGTGGCTTCAGGCAACAGAAATATGGTTCTAGAGAGGGATGCTGTGAATAGCAGTTTTAAGGAAAATGAAAACAGAAAGTGACAGGTGATTTCTAGGTCACATAATGAGGAAAGAGGACTTCCAGAATTTGACACTAACAAGGATATTGACAACACAAACCTTAGTAAGAGCTCCAAAGGACGGGATGTGTAGAGTCATGATCGCCACTGACTTCCTGAAGGGACACGATAAACAGAAGAAGAATTTCTAACAGAAGAATTTCTTATAGTATGGTGTTCAGTCAGGTTAAAAAATGGTTTTACATTTGAAAAAAAAATTCGTTATCTACACAAAACAAAAATACGATATAGCTATAAAAAATTCAAAATGTCTACTTTTTTAGCTGATAAAAAAGCTGATTAATTAGAAGAACGCGTTCATCGAAATCAATATCTGGTCCTTGGTCTTTTGGAAAAGTGGATAAAAAACCAGCTGTGCGTTTTAATGATTTACAGTGATAAATGAACTTAGGTATCAACTTCGGGTCACCCAAGTCTCGTTGTTTTTCATGTGTGCATGTATTTTGAAGTGTTGCGAAACTGATTCTGATATCGGCGTGAACTGAGTTTATACGAGAATGGAATCATCAACCCTATTTATTGAGTAGGTTCTCTATCGTGTTCTGCCGATGTAAACGAAACACTTACACAGAAACTAAACATGAAGAATCTTGCAAGATGCTTTTAGAATAATAGATGTAGAAACGGAACCACGTTAATCTACTCAGTAAACCTTCTTGCAGCTGAACAAGAAGTGCCCTGACTTAACTATCTTTTGAAAATTATTAGTAGATGATCGACTACTGATAACGAAAGACAATGACGGCAACAAACGAAATCAAAACCTAACTCTCTCTCTCTCTCTCTCTCTCTCTCTCTCTGAATGTGTGTGTTGCAGTATATCAAAGTACGAAACTCGAATTAATTAAGCTTTCAGCTTGGGTCATATTGTACTGCCAATGCTTTATTTTTATAAGCTGTGCCTCTTACTTAGTACCTTCTACCTCAAGTGGCCCTAGGGTCTTGTACAGGCTGAATGAACATAATTGCAAAATAAAATAAAAAAAAAAACAAGAATATACTTTATTGCTTTAAAATTATTTCTATTTTGTCTCATCAACTACTTTGACTTTAATGTCTTTTTGTATTACTGATTCTTTCCATGACATATGAGTTATCCAGTATCATTATTTTACAATAATTTATAAGGCGTAAGAGTCACTGACTTTAAACTCCTTTTAAACTTTCATCTACAAAACTACATTTTCGTGCGGACTTTCTTTTTTAAACAAGAGAATTCATAAATTTGTTATACTTTGATGACAGATTTTTTTCATCCTTTAGTGTTCATTGTATCCTGCTCGACACGCTTTTCGCTTTCTGACTTTTATATATATATATATATATATATATATATATATATATATATATATATATATATATATTGTGGAAAGTGTTCGACGACCGCATCTTTTGAATGTTATGCTTTGTTATGTTTTGCATGTACAAACACATTATTCCCATTGACTTTCCACAATGTCTTGTTGATATTTTAATAGGAAATCTTGCAACTATTGTGACTAATATTCATAATAATACTTCTTATGTATTGTGGAGTGTTATCTTAACAATAAGGCGTTGATTTAAATCTAAAAATCATTACAAAAAAACGATTTTTTCCTGTATTGGAGACGATAACTCTCATTAGCTTTCAGACTTACTGTCCCATTTAGTTCGGATCAGGAGATGTACAATCCTCTATTAAATATTCAATAAACTGGGTTGTTTCTCACTTTCTCTGACTCATTCAGCGTGGACAACCATTGTCTGAAACAATAAGCAACCAAACAAATTTTGACGTTACCCTTTGCTAATTATTAAATGGCCGACCGACTCACCTATAAAAAAAATATTATGTTTCTTACTATGTCTATCCATATCGACATCTGTCATTGAATTTAGTGGTTAATAAACATTCTGATTGTTGATCTGCTTTATAAATGATGCCACCAGTTCTTGGTTGCTGCTGTCTAATAACATCGATTTCTTTTAATCGAATTACAAACAAGTTCATTTTAGGATCGAGTTCATTTTTAAGTATTTTATCAGACAAAGGCGAATTCAAACACCAATTATATCAAACCCGAATACTTACAATGATAATACAATGCAAGCTCTATCTAAATCATCATGTAATCACCAAATCAACTAAATGATGCAAAGTCGATTTTACTATATTTACAAACATGTCAGTGACATTTCAGTAGTAATTATAGATATAAAATATTCAAACTTCCTATGTAATACAGTGGAGAGATAGACTCCCAACGACTGATCTCCAGTAACAAGGCAATTTTCACCCAAGTTGCATAAAACATTGGTAGATGCAATTTAGTATTCCTCACAAGTATGTATATGTCCAGTTAATGAACGAGACTATCATTGAACCCATCAGAGATCTCTAACAGAATATCTCATGTTTTTAATACATTTTCATAACTATTACTGTTTGTCTAAGTGAACCTTGAACATAAATATACCAATATATGTGCCAGATTCATTTTTGTCTACGTTATCATTTACTATTTCACTTACTGATCTGTTGAATTTTTAATCATCGCACTAAGTTATAGATAAAATGATACGTCCATTAACCACTTGCATGATTAAGATACTCATGTAATGAATGAATAATTACTCCTGAGTACATGGTAAAACTGAATGCAAACACTAGATAAACTGTTATATTACGCATATTTTATGCTTAAATGTCCTATGTGCCATAAACATAGTCTCAGCATTATTGTTAGTTGTTTTGCTTATTGTTGTTATAGCTTAAATAAGCATTCAGTTGCTTTTAAGGATCGTGACGCTTAGCACTATTTCGAGGTCAAAGGTGTGGAGAAGTGCCAGAGGTCCTTAGTAATATTTAATAGTAAATAAATAGAAACTTCAGAGTAAACGAACAGAATCAAATGTATAAACAAATTATATATGTTTATTTATTTGACTTCGATTGGAGCGAGTCCTTTGTAATTCGGGCTGGCTAAAGTTTGTTTGGTTGGGTAGTTGATAGTTGGTAGTCAGACTTTGGTAGTAAAGTTCATTTTGTTGGCAGCTGCAGTGAGTGTGGTTACTTTGGAAATAAGTGCGGCGTCAGTCTTGGCCATCAAAAGAGCGGAAAAATTCCTTAAGCAGATGACCGTTATTTTCTTCACACAACATGATTTGCTAGTTTCTCTGGCTGTTCTTTTTATCTTATGCTGGTCTGTCGGTTGCCACTTTGTATATACTTGAGAAAAGGCTCCAGACTACTTGGCGCGAAGCTTGGTTTCAGCTAACATCAAAAGTGTCTTTGTTTTTTTGTTTTGTTTTTTTTTTTGATTGGCCAAAATTCTTTCTTTTTCATTTTTTTTTTATAGCGGAAGTTATGCGTGGAGCCTCTCTTACTTTGGCAAATTTTTAGTCACAATATACTTATTGTGACCCTGGACCAGCAAACTTCCGTTTCACGGAAGTCATTTCTTCTTCCTCTTTTTTATTTTAGGTTTGCCTTCTCATTAGTTGAACGAGAAGTATATCTAGTTAGATAGATATATGTATATATAGAGAGATGGGTTTAAAGGGAAAGCAAATGCTTTATTTTAATTTTAATTCTTTTTTTTTTAATATTTTATTTTCATATTTTATATTTTTTATATTTGGGTTCATTACAAAGGTTCGCATAATTTTATTCCTTCTGTATTATCAGAATTTCTGCCTGAATTTCTAGGATGAGGAATTATTATCATTTAGATTATGTACATTCCTTATGAATCTTCTCAAATTTGTTGTTATTATGAAAAATTTCGGTCGTTGTGCATTTCGGACTTCTTCAAGTGTCTGTTGAATATACGCTTTCTCTATATAGCTTATTGCAAAATATTGCTATATATATATATATATATATATATATATATATATATATATATATATATATATATGGCCGTTTATTCAGATATCCACCAAAAAAATAACACTTGAAGTATATATATATATATATATATATATATATATATATATAGTTTAGAATTTACTGTATTTATTACAGAAGAGTACTCAATATTGAAGATAGACCATTTAAATATAGACAGTGTGGCCATAGAAATTAATAATGTATAGTAACTGCCAGTTTCACGTCTAAAGTGATCTTCAAATCATGCTATGTTGATTTCCATGTGTACTCACATATTCTCTCTCTCACACACACACATACACACACAACATATTGGACATTTAGATTAAAATTTGAATAAATATGGTAAAAATTAATTCTTATATGACCAAACGAGAGGTTTCCTATAACTTCTGATTTAATTCTACACAATTTTTTTGTTCCAGAAAAATTTCATCGATATCCTGCATAAAGTGTATGAAGATGAATCTCGGGACATGGTTAACATGCTGGGAAAGAGTCGGACTGAAATACAAGACATGGCCGAATTCATACAAAAGGAGCAGAAAGCTTTTAAAGAAACTCTGCAACAGCTAAGTAAATAACAATTCATTTTTCGTTGCATTTCAACAAAATTAATGATTCAGAGATATACTAGAGAAATAACTTATAAAAATTATCGAACTTTAATAACTATTTGCAATTTGGTGAATAAAATTACTTTTACGCAGTGATTATCTACAAATATCTAAAAGTGAAACAATATTTTCATTTAAAGTAAAATTCATTACTTATGCAAAAAGAAAAAAAATTCATTATTTGTCCAAATCTATAATGTCGGAGACAAACTTTTGAGAATGCACAAAACATTGTCTCGCACAATAATACCAAGAGTATACCAGGGATATATGAATTCTGTGATCATCCATAGATGATCTGGTGAATAACAAGGATTGTAATCATCCAATAACGGCGATGGTGTTGTGAAATCCTATCAGATTAACAGCACTGGTTCCAACCAACCTGTAAGTCAACGTACTATGCAGTTTATACTGCATTTCATGAAGTTTTATAGTCGTCGGCCAGCAAGGGTATTATTACTAACATCATGGAATCAGTTAGTCTGTAAACACACAACAGGTCTCTCACTTAGTTTTCATCGACCGAACGAATCACCCCATATTGTGTTTCTATTCTCGTTTGCATTGGTGTACACAGAAACCGGAAAATGCCCGGTGTACCTTCATAAGGAAAATGAAGTTTCTGCTACAGCAAGAAATGATATTGTTTTCAATATATTCAGTTATTCAGGGATTTACTTTGCACCGTCACCTAACTACTTCTCAGTAAGTAGGAGATCTGCTCTTCCCTTCACCCAACGTGCTCTCTCCTACGAACCTTCTTATCATCTCTACACCACGACACGCGGCTAGCAACTCACCCAAGGCTATTTTAAAACTACTCTCTAATGGGTGGTCCGAAACTTTTCTCAAGGGACAGCCTGTAACCCGCCAACAGACAGCATCGGAACTATTTCCAGTGCTAACTTTGACTGTTTACATTCCTTCGAACGGAACTTTCTAACTTACAGCCAAGTGGTACTTGTTCCCAAATTCTTTCATTTATTTATCTATTTAGATGATTCCCTTTTGCCCAGTCCGTGGTCGCTTTGAAGATAAAACAGACATTTCAGACTTGGATAAAACCTTTTACCGTTCATTTGACTTCGTGCGGGTTTTAATGACGGCCGAGTCAAGTTGTACCACAACTGCATCTCACCTAAGCCAGAAGACGTTGTTTTGATGTGTGTACCGTGTCACCTGCTTAAGCAAGTCATTTTTCCAGCTCTTTCGGTCAGACGATTGAATTTATGTATGGAGAAGATCGTTACGGATCCATTTTGTGAACAGTGTTAAGTAAATTGATTGTGGTTTTATTCTGTGGAAGCTCGCAAGGACCTCTAGTTAAAATGGAGCCTGTATTGACTTCTTTTTATGTGCTGTGTCCCTTCAGAACGTGGGTGACCAAGGGTCTTTACAATTTCCTATCTTTTTTTAACAATGTTTGTCCCCTGATATCCCTCCCAGTCCTTTTTCTGACATCCATTCGTTAGTTAGGTTACTCGCTGTTTCCGCATATTCTTTCTGTCTTTAATATGTCATGTGAATGTCAAATTCTTCAAACCCCTCTTTCTATTCCAAAACTTTAAGTGTCTCTTTCTGATTCTAAATGTAAATTTCCTTTTTGTTTCTATTTTTCTTAAAACTTCTTCGTTGCTCACGTGTTAGACTGCATAACAATCAATAAAAACTCCAAGTATACAGATGACTCTAAAACCTTCGACAAGTGCCAATTGTTGGAGTGATCGTCTTCCAGTTATATGACAAGCTCCAGGGCGGCTCAACTTGCAAAGCCTGTCATGACAGGTGCAGACAATTTGCACCTCTTTATTTTCGCCATGTTTCACGGTAGTGACGGTTAGTTCTAGCTTATTTCACATAGTCTTTCTTCATATTCCTTTTGATTTGGTTACTCTTTCAACATTCTAAAAATATAGCCCTTTGTTTAAATTCTTTTCAGAGGTTTCTTTTCTTTGTTTTTTTTTTAAAATTTTTTTCTCTTTCTCAGGATCTCTCTCGATCCCATTTACCTGTATTTCTCAAGATCGCTTTCGATCGCATTTACCTGTATTTAAGGGAAGTTGAGCTGTTTTACTCATCTGAGCTTTGGAATTGGAAGTAGGCACTTCCGGCTTCTACACTCAATACCTTAGCCTCTGTTATTAAATCAAAGATGGAGAGCTAGGCATTATTAGCTCGTGGTCTGTATTTTTTTGACACTTCAGTTCATTATGATATATTTTACTTTACAATCAACATACTAATCATTATCCTAATAATTTTCAAAAATATTGTCATCATCATCATCATCATCATCATCATCATCAATATTATTATTACTATTTCAGAAAACCAGCGTTTTAGCTCTGAGCGGGATACTGAATCAAGAATGTCCACTGTGTCTTGCACAGATGGAGTGGTGAATAGTGGTAGGAAGAAACAGAAGAACCGGAATGCCAGCGGTTCAAGACCAGTTAGCGCCCGTAGTCTGCCCACTGCTATGAACACCCATGTGACAATCGAGGAGGTAATTTTTCTTCTCTCACGATATTGCTTAATGGATAATTTTTCTCAAATATCTTTTATTTTATCCGACTTTGGTGATCCGAAGACGTGTATGAACAAAAATGTAAAAAGAGCAAATATTTAATTTCTATAAACAACATTTGATTTGGTTGGTACTGCTGTTTCGTCTTCTGTCGTGAGAAGATAAAGAACAAGGACAAACTGTATTCAAACGTGTCTTTATTACACGTCTTTATTGACTGGATACTGTACTGGAAATGATTCATACATCAAAAAGAGCAGGAAGCGTCCCGAAGATGGGTGACATAAGTGGAAATAATTAGTTACTGGTACACTTAACTGCAACGCAAATCTATCCGAAAATCACAGTCGTGGAATGTGGACAGAAGAAGATCGCGTGATGAAAATGTTCAACAGAATGCTCCAAAGAAGGAATAATTTGATTTCAAGTCACCCAACAAGGAACAATTGTGTTCCAAGAAAAGGAAACGATGTCAAAAAGTTTGCATTTCGGTTGTGTGTTCTCTACCTCGACACCATTTCAGAAGAAGTAGAACAGACTGTATTCAAAACAATAAAACATCTTTATTCACTGACTACCATACAGAAAGTGATTCCTACATCAAAGGGGACAAGAAGAGGTCTGAAGTTGGGCGAGATAAGTAGGAATAGTTAGTTATACACGTAATCTCCCTCTTCTCTTTGAACTTCTATTTTATTTAAATTTAATTTTTTTATAAATTAATTTATTTTTGTGTGTGTATAGAAAATACAGGAAGGAGAAAGTTGAAAGGCACGGAAAGTTTGTTACGAGGTTGTGTTGGAAGGGGATACGTCTTCTGTACGTGGGTTTCTTGCTATTCATTCATCCCGATAATGAGTTGGTTTATCCTTTGTATTGACCCGTTTGTCGTCATCAGGTTTTCCCACGCGTGTCTGTTTCTACTGGTGTTGTTGGATTATCTGAACATAGTTGTTTTCGAACAGCTACTGATGTTGGCTGTTGTTACTCTAGGGAAATGAGTGAATAAATTTTCCAATATTTTATTTATTTTTTCTTTGTACTTCAGATTCAACATTCGTAGTGGGCTTAAAATGACATAATCTGCACCACAACGGAAATATATAAATTACAAAAATATTATATACAAGATACAGCAGAATAAGCGTAAACGATAAAAGGCTTTCGTATACATTTCAGATAAAATTGTATATATTTTAAAGAATATATACGTATACAGAAATTTTTTATTTCTGTATGCTTATGGTTATCTGTTTGGTAGCACATGGTCTGCCAAAAGCGCTGTCCCAGGACATCTGCTTCGTTTGGCCATTGAAGGTGAAGAATGTTATGTTTTGCATATCTCTGTGTGTAGTAATAGTCGTAGTACAGTTTTCCGTGTTGATCTCTATTTATACTTGTCTATTTAATTTGTATATGATACTACACCTCCCTGAATCTGAGAGGTCGTATACCCTTGTTTTTTCTTTTACTATTCCTGATTATTTTCGTATTGTGTTGTCCTTCCTCATGTCTTTCTTGTTTTCTCTTTAATGGTGATCTCGATCTCTCTTCATTTTCTTCTTCATACTCGTCTGTCTTTTCATTCTCACTTTCCTCCATTTCCTGCTCTGTTCCACTTTTGTAACTTTCTGTCTTCTTGTTCTTGATCTTCCATTTCTACGTCATCCAGTTCGTTTCTGCTTCTGAACTGATCTGAATGTGCCAGTATATGTTGCCCCCTTTTCTCAAGTATAGATGTGTCGTCCTTTTTGTATCAGGAAATTTGCTTCTTTATTCTTTCTATACCATACCTTTTCTTTCGTTGCAAAAAACATAGTTATGGAGCTCTGATTTCGTAAAATTTGGGTGCATTGTCGGTGACTATTGTCTGGGGTACTCCATTCCTTGGGAATATAGTTCTTAGTACTTGCTTTATTGTGATGGCTTTTCGGTCTTTTACTCTGACAATTTCTGGCCATCCTGAATATGAGTCCACTAATACTAAGAACAATCCCCTATCTTTGATGTGTGCATGATCCATGTAGACCCTAACCCTGCTTCCTTGGGCCATGAATGAATTTTCGCTTACTTCAAGTTTTTTTAAATTTTTTTTATTTCCGCACATTTTGTGCATCTCTTAGCGTATTCCTCTACATCTTTTGAATATCCTGGACACCAGGCTTGTAACTTTAGTCTTATTTCTGTTGCTGTTATTCCACAATGCACGTCATCATGTACTCCTTTTAATATCTCCCTTTTCAGTATTTGTGAGGCTACTATTAAATCCCCATTGCATATTATGCCATTTTCTATGGCATAATTTTCTGTGGTTAGTTTGTGCTTCGTTTCTTTAAAGGTTCGCTCTGCCATCGAACAGTTTCTCCATATATTATTTTTTATTCTCTCTACTATTCTGCTTAATATTGGCTCTTGCTTTATTTCTTTTTTGAGTATATTTAGATGAAGAACGTCTGTTTCTACCCAGTGTATTATTTTATCTTCAGTATTTTCCTCGTTTCATTCTTGAACTGTAATCTTGATAAAGCATCTACCTGCGGGATAGTGTTCCTTTTTACATATACTATGTCAAAATCGAATGCCATGATCTTTATCGTTCATCCTAAAATCCTTGACGATGTGACATTTGGCAATTCTTTTCTCGGGTTAAATATGAATTCCAATGATTTGTGGTCCTATTTTAATAAGAAATTTTTTCCTATTAAAAAGTTTCGCGCCCTTTCCATGCACCATACAATCGCTTGTGTTTCTTTTTTAAATAGTTAGTTTCTGCTGACATTAACCTTCTTGATATGTACATGATTGGGCGTTCTTCTTGTGATAGAATAGTAGCAATCGCCTTGTGGATCAAAAACCTTTATTATTGGTTTGTTTCCCAGTATTTTCTTTAGTGTTTCAAAAGCGATAGTTTGCTTTTATGCCCTGTTAAATTCATTTTTTGTGTAATTTTGCAAATAGCTCTATTATGCCGCTGATGTATCTTGGTATGTATTTACTATAAAAATTATTAGCCCCCAAAAGGATTCTAATTCTTTTTATTTGTTGGAGCAGCTATTTCTGTTAGTCTATTGTCGGGTGATATGCCTTCTTTTGATATTTGATATCCTAAATATATCTTCTTACAGTCAAAATTACACTTGTCTTTGTTTACAGTCATGCCTACCTTTTTTAATCTCACCTTTGTTAATCTCCCCGGGCTCCCAATTTTTTAAATTCACAATACTTGGCTCGTTCTTTCAATCCATGTATAATGGACTCATTGGATGCTTGTCTTGTCTCTAAAAACTTGGTTCTTTAGGCGATGACCAATCTTTTCTTTGGGTTTATGTTCTTTTTTATAATTTTAATAATTTCTTCAAATGTCATTTCTTCTAATTCGCTCGCATAACACACTGTCGAAATTTTCTTCACTACTTCGCACCCAGCGATAGCAAGAAATAAATCTGTTATCTCAACCGGTCTTTGTGTCTCTTATTTTTTTCATTCTTGCAAATGCAGCAAAATTTTTATCCATGTTTCTCTGTGTTCTGGGTCGTCCAGTGAATTTAATGATCCTATCGGTGACGCCATTGTCATTTTTGGTATATCTCTCTGCGTAGTGGTAATCGTAGTACAGTTCTCAGTGTCTTGAACAGCAATCAGGTTTGCTAGGCATAGCCCCCCATGTTTGCCAGTTGTTCTCTATTTATACTTGTCTATTTAATTTGCATCCGATATTACATAGAGAAAATTTGATTTCTGTTTCAATTAGCGGCAAAAACGCTTGCATGATGATAGTTTTTATATTCATTTAACTATTTTTTTATTTATATAATGTCTCTTTTGCTTTCTTTATAGTTAATTATCATTCTTATCTATATTTTAAAGTAATTTTATTACTTAATTTTAATTTATCTTTTATTATTAATTATTATTTTGGTTTCATACTTGAAACATAGTCTAGTACTAAGAGGTAGATGTTATTTAGTGATTTATTTATTGCTATCACAACACTCTAATATAGCCTGAGGCTCCCGAAAAAAAAAACCCAGAAACATGACGAGTGATGTGTGACAGGGGCTGTACTTATTAAAAAAAAGGCTAGGTACAGGGCTGTATAGGTAATTTTTAACACATTAGAAAAGGGTTTATCTAACCTTTGAATTGCATACATCAGATAGTATTGTATTTTCAAACAGTAGAAATGTGCACGTGCGACGGTATATATTTTTCGTGTAAAAGTAGACGAGAGACGTTTTCTCTTTGAAACATAGCAGACCCGGTTCGAGTAGTGTCCAGCTATTTCAAAAAGAAAGAAAGGGAAACAGAAACAAAATAAAGCTTACAATAGCTATGACAGGATGTAGATATATCAAACGAATGTAGAGGCGTGGTTCAATAGAAAGCTGCTACGTCTTGGGTCCCCAGAAGTTAACCTACCATAGACTGTATTCATAACAGCAACGTATTCACTGGCTACGGTACAATGAGGACGGGAAGTGTCCGGAAGACAGAGGACATAAGTGGAAACAGCAGTATATAACATGCATATAGAGCATTGCTTACATGTGGCACAATGCCGAAAGTAGGGAGCAGTCAGTGAGAATTGAACTCACTACTCAGTCGTAATTGATCTACCGTGACATGCTTGCTAACCATTAAACCACGTTAAAGTGCCCAATATATAGAGAGGCGACAGTCTGTTTCATGCTTAAACGCAATTTTCAGGTATTTTTTATATTTACATACGCTCCATCTCTGATATTGAGCACTTTAACCTCTAAATATAGCAGACACCAAAACTATATTTTATCATATATATATATACTATGACAGGGCCCTCATTGTTAACTGTTAAATCAGACGTAGAATCAATTTAATAAGAGACGCACTATCTTTGTCTTTCTCCTTCTCCTCTTTCTCTCTCTTTTTTACTACCTATGTGGACTGAGTTTTGTTTCAGCGAAGAAAGGTCAGGAAATTAATTTGGGGTCGCTTGG